CACAGTGACTCAGCCATAAAAAGACAGACAGAGTGAGACAACGGCAGTGACTCAGCAGTAAGAAAGACTTCCTATAGAGCAAGTAGGAAAGGCGACTCGGCAGTGTATCAGTCCCTAAGTAGATCAGCAGCAACTTAGCCATTAGCGTTAGCGACTCTGTGACGACTCAGCAGCAGCCATTCTACCCATAAGTCTTTCTGTGTCTATGTAAAATAGAATTGAAGTCAAATAGTTGTGTTGTTGAATTACCACCCAATATGAACCTGACACCTGAGCTTAAAAACGGGACACATTATCGCAGAGGTTCCCAAAGTGGGGGGCGCGCCACCTAACATTATTCTGTTTTTTCTGTTTTTTGGGGCCTGGGGTAGGTGAAAATTTTCTTATGAGCCGAAGGGAAACCACTTCATTATTGGATGGTAAGACCAAGGGAACTGTGAGCAGATTACTGTGGGTCAAACAATGCACCCTATCACCATTTGGTGGCGCTGATTCTGGCCAAGCACGGCTTTAAAGCACACATCCGCTGACAGTAAGATGTGCAACAGCCTTAACGGCAGTTAACAGCCTTTTATGAGTCACAGTTCACTTAACTTAACAGTGGAGGAGGAGGAGAGAAGAACCATTTACTCTGCCCTGCAAATAAATAGGCACTTAACCTCTCTCTGTCTCTCTCTCTATCTCTCTCTCTCTCTCCCTCTGTGTGTGTGTGTGCAATAATCCTGTCACACGCAGACATCCAATGGTTTTCTTTTCTCCATAAAACCAGTTGGGTTTTTTTTTTTTTTTTTTTTACAAAAATATAAATGAGGACCGTTCCAAAAATAATGTGTGCGAACATAACTTAATTTTATAGCAATCTTCTTGTTTGTACGGTGCGGAATAGAAGAGAGCTGTCGGAGGTGGAAAAGCAAAGATGTAAAAACTTTTAGAAACGACATCTTATAAGGGTCAAGTCTAGAGAGGCCCAGGATTACTGACAAGATGCTAGGGAGGGACATTTAGGATGTTTAAGAAAGACATTGACGAGCCCTGACATCTCGCACGGATATGAAAGTGTAGCTTTGTGCTTTTATGGTCAAGAAACAAAAATGATTGTGGAGCGTTTTCACTACAAACGATGACTGTAGTCGACCATGAAAACCATACCGTGTGTGTATCTGTGTGTGCCATTGCGTGTGTCGAGGTCAGGGTGAGTGTGTGTCTGTGTGGTCGTCGTGTTTTATGAGGAGGAGGAGGAGGAGGAGGAGGAAAAAAGCAGAGAGTGCTCATCAAAGGAACAGAGCAGAGCAGAGGTTCACACTTCATTTTCTCTCCCGTCTGAGCGTCAGGACGACTCGTGGATTTTATTGGACCATAAATCTGCATCTTCACATCTACAATAACGCGTCGTAAAGGCATCCAACTGCTTAATCAGTGCGGAAAGGCTAAGGAATTTTTAAAAAACCACAAAAAAACAAACCCTACATGGACGATTCCGTACACTTTCTTTATCAACACAGAGGAACAGTAGTTCCAAGACCTTTAAGTACCAGATGATTTAAGTGGTTTTTGCTGACAGTTTTTGTGTTTCAATATTATTATTATTATTATTAATAATGATAATCTTTGTAGAGCCAGAGTGTCCCATAAGTATCTGGACTTACTCGTGGCTCCATTAGTCAAAGGTTTTCTTTGACGCTTGGTCAGTTGTTTACAGACAAAAGTCCAATACCTATAGTGCTGTTTGTGCCTTATTACGCACAGAAAAATACAGCGCCATCTGTTGTCATTGCTGGTCCATCAATAAATTCTAACACTAATCTTCTGCTGCTGCTTTTTGATTCATAAGACGTTGGTATGGCGGGGGGGAAAAACACTTTTTATTTACACAATGAATGACGACATCACATTTTACTGCTCCAACTACTACGTACAGGGTTTTGTTTTTTTTTTTTTCCTGCTNNNNCTGCTGAACTTCACCAAACACAAATATACACGGAAATAGTGCCACCTGGTGATGGCACAACAGGTATATCTACAGTACTGTAGCTGTAGCTGCGTTAGCCTTATTGAAACACCTGTACGGTGGTTTGTTTGTTTGTTTACTTTTTTTTTTTAAACATGGACAAAATAAATATTAGCACAGCTCAGACTTTGTTTTTCGCCCAACTTTGTTGTTTAAAGATTCGTTATCGTATCTGGGCCATTCGCTGTTTACAGCAGTGTTTAAACACGTGTCAACCAGTGTTTACCGTATTTTTCCATTTTTTAATAAAAGTGTAGCGTGGGGATTCGTCTTTCTGGGCCAGGTCAACGTCGGTTCAATTTTCCCCCAAAACCCTTTGTGGTGTTTGGACAAAGATTTATTGTTGTATTAAATATTCATATTCCTTACTTTTGGTTTTGTGGCGCCAGACCTTTGTGATTATGTAATTTTATGCTTTTGAAACGTTAAATGTTTTAACATTCTCTCCCAGCTACGCGCGCGTGCGCACAAACACACACCTATGGTCTACGTGCCCGTATTTGTTAAATGTCTCAATCTCCAGTTGAGCTCCTCACACATTATTATTATTATTATTATTATTATTATTATTATTATTATTATTAATATTATTTTTAAAAAATCTAATAATTAAGCGTAGGCTACATATACTTACAACGTGTGAATTAATAGAAAGTAAAACGAAAAAATGAACACATTAACCAAGGTTAACTTAACCTTTATTTTTGTCAAAAACACGTTTTTAGATGTGGTTTTGACAATCAATTTACGAAAATGAACTTAATTTATGAAATTTGGTGAAACTCAAAGTTGTTGAAAATCTGGAAAAATTTAAATCTTTGCACTTAAATTCAACGAAAAATAAAAATGATTTTCCTTCACTCTTTAATCGCTGTTTTTTTACTTAAAATATTGCAAATTTGATGAAATATGTTTTTCCTTCTTCTTCTTTTTAAATAAGAACACAGACAGACGTGGAGACTTTAGGACTCACCACCATGAAGAATCCACCCTGGGTGTGAGCAGCAGCAGCAGCGCACAAGCGCAGTAAATTTTGGAGCTTGTGCCCGGACTGTGGCACGAAGAAGACCGGGAAGAGAGCGCGAGTCTGGGGGACTTACAGCCATCAGTCCTGGCAGCGGCCCGGAGGCTCAGAATCCGGGGTAAGGCCAACATGGATGGGTCTACGCTGCGGCTCAAACTGGATTTATTTCAACTCCTAATCCTAAAAACAAAGACCAATAGTTATCCCAAAGTCTTTCAACAGATCTGGGTGTGCAGACGGCGGGGTGGAGGTGGTGGCGGTGGGGGTTTCAGCAGGTCCAGATGAGGTCTTCTGCTCCAAAGTGCGGTTCCATGGTGAGCGCGGCTGTCCAGCAGGATCGCGTTGCCGGTGCCATGTGCGCACCAGACTGTGGGTCTGTCTGCTTTACCTGGAACGGCAGCAGCAACAAGTGTCGGCCGCCGCTCTCTTCACTCGCCCTTCAGCTGCGCACGCGCGCACACACGCACACGCAGGGACGAAAAGAGAGGAGGAGGAGGAGAGAGTGATGGATAAAGAGAGACGGAGAGGGAGAGGGAGAGAGTGAAAGAGAGAGAGAGAGAGGGTGATTGATAGAGGGAGAGAGAGAGAGAGAGAGAGAGATATCTGGGGTAACAAAATACTGAGGCATTAAGACAATGACGAAGACAGTTTGTGTCCTCGCACAAGATAAGTCTTTATCGAAATTGTATTTGTACGAAACACATTTACAGATTTAAAAAAAGAAAAAGAAAATGGAGGAATGCATATCCGGTCATTGTTATACTGTTTATATTAAAATGTCAAAGTGTTCAGTGTTGCCGGTTGGTTCACCAGAGAGAAAGGAGAAAATGGGGGAGACAGCAGCGTGGGGGAAGAAATGGGGGAGGGAAAGAAGAGGGAGCAGGAGCAGATATACTGTACAACACTATAACATATAGAGACAACGGTTGGACAAGCTGTATGGTCGTAGGAAGAACGTCATCATTATCAGCACTTTTTGTTTCACCCATTCTGTTTGACAGCTCCTATATAAATAAATAAAGTTTATTAGTGTTAAAGTAGTTGCTGAGATACCTTTTAGATTTGTCCGAAATGGAGCTTAAAAAAAAAAAAAAAACTACGCCCAGGTTGTTAACTTTGGAGCTGGTGGCTACGAGGATATTATCTAATGCAACAATAGTTTCAGCAAAAGTCTCTCGTAGATGTTTGGGTCCAGTGTATTTTTCTACTGTTTTGTTGAATTTTTAAAATAGATAGTTGCATCCAACTGCTGTGTGCCATCTGGATACATACTGTACAGTCGCACATCATCTGCGTAACCATTTACACATAACCGTTTTCTACTAATATTACCCGATGGGAGCATGTACAGAGTGAATGATATTGGACCGAGCATTGAACCTTGGGGAACGCCACAGTTTACTTGTGTGCGTCAAATTCAGGCCCGCGGGCCAATTCTGGCCCCTGGTGTAATTCTATTTGGCCTGCGAGATCAAATCAAATACGTACTAGAGCTGGCCCGTCAGTATATACAGCCCTATATACTGTTGGGATTTGTAGTATTAGCCGTGTATGCTAACACATACATTTTGTTTTTGTTTTTTTTTTTTTTTTTGTTGTTGTTGGCCTGTGAATAGAAAGATTTATATAAAAAAGAACTTTTAGAACTTATAGAAAAGCTACAGATAAAGAGACACCACAAGAAGTGTGTTTAATTTCAAATGTATTTTATCATGTGTTTATAATATTAAGCTTTGCGTGTTCCAGATTCAGTGTTTACGCAGAACGAAAGTTTGTTTCCAGATGACAAAATTCAACATCACGTACATGGAGAGAAGGGAAAACATGCACAATTGCAGTCAATTCTTCACTGTGAATTTGAGTTTAACACAATTTAATATTATACTGTCGACATGAACAAACAGAGTTCTTATACAGTATGAACATTTTATACCACGCGTTTGCTCTAGTCTCTGTAGTAGTATACATTTGATTGATTGTGTCAAATCCAGCACTGAGGACTAGTAAAGATGTCCATCCATCGTCTAAGGCCTCGAGTAGGTCATTGCTAACGCTAACTGGTGCTGCTTCTGTACCATGATGTTATATAATATGCGATACTATATATGTGATATGACATGTTATACCTGGGGTCACCAACGTGGGTCCCGGGGTCACCTGATAGCCAAGGTGGACTACCTAAGGTGTACGCGGGGTATGTTCTAAAAATAAGAGTAGTCAACAAGAAGGTCAAAAACTGTACTGCTACTGTGCTTTTTGGATCAGTTCCACCTGCAATGATATTCAAATGGGTCAATGACGATGGTAAGAACAGTGTCTACTGTTGTATGTCCCAGAACTGATTATTATTACATTGTTCACAAAGTCTGTATTAAACAAGTCGCTCTTCGTATTACTAAGTGTCCTTGAAGTAGCTCTGAGTCTCTAAAAGGTCGGTGACCCCTGTGTTATACAACATCCTGACTGAAATCCTTCAAATAAACTGTTGAGGTGAAGATGATCGTTTCAGTTTTTTTTTGACACAAAGGGAGACTTTGAACCATGGTCCATAATGCAGTGCAGTTTTGTAAAGAAGAGGTTCAATTACAACTGTTTTAAATGTTTTCTGTTTGTAAAGATTCATTCATTCGTGGTGAATTTGGTCTCATATTGACGCAGTTGGTTTGTTCGCACCGGAACTGGTGGGTGAGCAGAGCGGACGAGTGAGTCATCCCGCTGTGAGGTGTGCCTGTCTCCCTGTTAATCAGTGTGATCGATCTCACCTGTGTCTCTGTTCGTCAGTCTCACTGGTGTCCCCTGGGTTTTATATAAAACTCTCTCCCTGTTTTTGCACTTTGTAAATGAACCTGCTGCACCTGAAGAGAGTCTATAGAGAGAGTCGCTATAAGCGGAAGATGGGGTTGTTTACGTTCGCTTTATTTAGTTTGTGTTGTTGTTTGCGCTTCATTGTGGAGAATGTGAGTGTGTGCTATTATGTGCTATATGTTGGGGCGGTTGATGAATTTATTTAGCTTCTTTTAACCGTGCTTCATTTAAGGTAAATAAATCAAAATCCGTTGCTCCTGAAAGCACGCCCAACTAATAAAAATGTTGTTGTTTTTTATTTGTCAGTGATAAAGCTGACCCTTCTTCTAATTCTGCAAATTCTCACTCAATTTTAAATACATTCTTAAGGAAGGTTAATATTGTCTCTATACGTAAATTAACAACTAAACGATTAGTGGTTAAATAATCTGATCGTCCGATATCACTGTGTTTGCTGAACGATACGACGACACCTCCTGTTTAACTGCTCATTATTCTAATTTATACACGTTAGGTGGGAGAACGGTCGCTGGATTAAGAAAAGCTGAGAATGCGGCAGGATAAGGCCAAATGTTCCTGCCGTGGAACAGAAGAACAAAACTGTAGCCTAAATCTGAACCACATGTGAGAGAGACACACACACACACACACACGCACACACACGCACACACACACGCACCAACCTCCGTCTCTAGAGGATGGCTATCCTCACTTTCTTTCCCACGCTTTTTTTTTTTTTTGTCCACACATTGAATGTGGCAATTTTTTCTCTTGGTCCTTGAAGGTATCCTAATACAAGGACCGATTTCATTAAATATATATATATACATATATACATATATACAGTATATATGCATATATATGTATATAAATATATATATGTATATATATATATGTATATATATATATAATTTTGACTTAATTGTTTGATGAATTATGAACTTAAAAATGTAATAGATTACTAAAATATCGTAGACTTTGCAGTCCCCATTGACATCCATGATATAACATATGGTAAAAGTCTGGCTTTTTGTGCCTATAGCAACAATATTAATAATGCAACTGTTTTCTCGTTATATGTATATTTATTTATTTCATTCCTAACTTATGTAAAATGGAGAGTAAAAATTCAAAGTGAGATTTAACTTCTGAGTTCCGCTCCCTTGCAGTGGAACTGCTGAGTTGGTTCCTATTTTAGGAGGAACTGTCTGTGTGACACACGTAGCTGTTCACATGGTGGCTGGATCTTAATTAGCGTTTTTTAGCATGACTCAGAACTTTTAACTTTGCCACACTGAAGTCTTGCCTTTAGTTGAGATCTGCACTCATTCTGATCTCAGACTAGTGAACTAAACTGTAATGCTACAGCTGAGTTCATCATCATCAGCAACTACTCACAGAATTTGCTGGTGCCACAGAAGCTAAAAGTCAATGCAAAAATCAGGGAAAATAGTTACGGACGCTAAGAGATGTAGCGAATGTAGCTAAACTATGGAAAAACCAAAAGCTAAAATGTATCTCCAAAACCATACCAAAGCTAAATGATAGCAATAATATCAGCCCCATTATCGTAATTACTGTCGTAATTTTGAAATATCTGTAAGAATCGTTGGTTGGTTTTTGCTCCGAAAATGAAAACCCAATAACTCAATGCCTGGGTTTGGCCGAATTACGTGTGCCCTAAAAGTAGTTTTGGGGATAAACAGCTGGATTTTTAAGTGACAAACACTAGATGGCAGCATTGCAGCTCATTTAATTCATATATTTTTAATAATCAGGGGGTTGTATGCAGAATACTGTTTGTGGTTTGTACACATAAACAAATAAATTAATTAATTTTACCAGGCCTATATCAGTATCGGTTGATATCGGAATTGAAAACTATGTGTTTATCGGCATATCGGACATCCCTAATTATATCTTAAGTCATTATTGCTAAAATGGATCTGAAACACAATGCTAACACCGCTGTTGTCAGATGTCACTTAAGCTAAAGTCAGTGAGGGCTGACTTTAGCCTCAGTGTCTTTTTTCCAACACACTCTTTTAATTAAAAAGTGTTGTCAATAATCCATTTCTAACTGATTTTTAAACCTCACTAAAAAAGATAGGAAATCAGATCCATTCTGTGCCATATTATGGGATGTTGTACCCCCCCCAAAAAAACCCCAAAAAACCCAGCTTTCTCTGGATGTCTCGTGACTGATGGCGTTTTGTGATGGACTTTCAGCTGAAGAGTCAAAGCTGCAGAGAAAATCTGGTGTCCTGGTTGGTCTTGTGAAACAGCAGCCATTGTGGCCCTTTGGCAGCGCTGCAGTTGGGCGAGGGCCCACGGTCCCTCCACTCTCTAAGTGATGAGAGCAGGGTTTAAGCGGCTGCAGGTGCGCTCGAGACGGGCGGACCCGGCCTTTTGAAGTGAAAGCCAAGTGGGACCGCGGCCCACGGCTGACCAGCAGCCAGAGCAGACACATTCGCTTTCAATTAACACTGTTACTAGATCAATGCAGAACTGCTCTCATGTCCTTTTTTTTTAAAAAAAAAACACTAATGCACACGATCCGTTCGTGTTACCCGCCGTCACTTTAAAACAACTCTCGTTAATTTAGCCCGGTGATGTCCGCGGCCCCTGGAATCAGGACCACGGCCGGATTTTTCTGCAGAAGCTCTTTGACCGAGGAGCTACATTTTCTGTGAGGGTGTGTGCTGGTTTCTTCACCTCCTCACACTTCACTTCATGAATCTTGCGGAATATCGGAGCCAGCGGCGGCAGCACATCCAGAGAACTGTGAGTCCTCCAGGCCCTCTTTTGTTGTTTCTCGTTTATCTTCGTATGGTGAAATCGCCGACGTCCTGA